GCTGCCCTCTGGGGTGAAAGAGGAGCCCCGGGCAGGCACAGCAGTGACAGCTGTGACCACTGCAAGGCTGCTCAGCCCAGTGTCCTCCTGAGGCCAGGCAGAACCAGGGACTTGTTTGGGTTGGAAAAACCCTTTCAGACCCTCCAGCCCACCCGTCCCCCCAGCCCTGCCCAGGCCACCCCTGCCCCGTGTCCCTCAGCACCATCTCCAGGGCTTGGAAACCCCTCCAGGGATGGGGACTCCCCCCCTGCCCTGGGCAGCCTGGGCCAGGGTCTGACAACCCTTGCCAGGGAGAAATTGTTCCCCAGATCCAACCTCAACCTGACTTCTCCCCACATCTCTACCTCTGGCCATGAGATGAACCCTCTGGAGTCAGAGTGTTCAGGTGCAATAACACGGAGATCACTGAGTAAAGCTGCAAATATTTTTTCCCTCCAACAAGCTGAGGTGCTTATCAGCAGTCAGGAAGAAACTCCTCATCCTTGCTGTGGCCAAGAGTTGGTCCCAGAGAGGAGGAGCAAAGCTGTGATTCCTGACCATGCCTCACCTGCTGAGTGCCTAAGCAGGGACCAGTTCTGCTGACCACTGCTCCAGGGCACAGGAACAACCACACCTTCCCCTGAAGTGTTTATTATTCACTTGATCCAAACCAAAAAAGAGAAGAAACACAGTTTCTGCAACAGCTACCGAGGAGCAGGAGGGAGGGAGGATGTGTAGCACATGTGTTTTGCAGTAGGACATCTTGCCTCAGACCAATTCATCATTGTCCATCCACCCTGCTGGGCCCCGGCAGCAGGTCATCAGCAGAGGCCCCTGAGCCACCTCCTTTCCAGAAGTGATCAAAGGATGAGACTGGGAACAGCAGAAGCTCTCCTGGATGGGATTACAGCCCAGCTAGAGATCCTGCTCCTTGAATAGGTTCATTTTCACTCCCCTCCTGCCGTGCCCAGCACCCAGTGCTCATGGGAGGTGCAGAAGGAATGATTTTGGAGAGGGACAGAGTGCAAGTTGCAGCCCAAAACTGGTGGGGCTCACCCTCTGCAGCACTTCTCCTTGGAACTGGAGTTGGAACTGGAACAGGAGTACATAAAACAAAATGTTGAGGCTCTAAACTCTGAATAAGGTTTAAAGGTGAGGTGAAATCAAACAGAGCTCAGAAAAACTTAGGGCAGAAAAATTGCAGTGAGATGGATTAACACCAGCACACACTCCTGCTGTCTCATGGCATCTCCTTCATGCTGGGAGGTCCTGGGTGACAGGCAAGAGGATGCCAGGCCCTGGTACTCCATGGCTGCCCTTATGCAGTAACTGGGTGGGAAGTGGTGGCTCCCTGGGTTGGGTTTAGGGCTCCTGAGCCTGAAAGTGGGGTTTTCTCAGCAGAAAAAAAACACTTCTCAAAGGTGCCACTTCTCCTGAAAGGTGAAGAACACGTCTGGTGCTTTATGATCTGGAGCAGGCTGCAGCAGAGGCTGGGCCAACAGCTGGTGCCAGAAACATAGAAAAACCACACATCAGCCAAGATACCACTTCCAAGAAGGAAAAGGGACTTTTCTTCCAAGGAGGAAAACTTCCAAAGGAAAAAAGAAAACCTCACCAGTGCCTGGAGAGGTTCGAGTCCACCCATGAGGGGTTGCAGAGGGAATAAGAGCAGTCTGTGAGGATACATCTGGAGTGGCAGTCTGTGTGCTCAGCAGGATGCTGAGCTTTTCTAGGAGCTCCTGCTGTGCCCCTGCAGAGCCACAGCTCTCCTGAGCTTGCTGTTTCCCTTGTGCCAAAGCTGGGGAGTGTCCCAGGCTAGGAAAGCCCTCCCAACCCCCATCTGCTGCTATCTGAGCAAGCTCATGTGAAGTTTCACCCATAAATTTTAGCCTCCCCGGCTAGAAACTACCATGACTCCATTACCCCCTTTGCCCTCTTCTGCTCTAAAACACCCCAGGGACTTTTCTCCCCGTGAACACACAAAACTTTTCAGCTCCTCTTCCTGCCTCACTGGCTTAGGTGAAAGGCTCAGCGTGTCTGCCATGTACAGCTTGTGCAGGTGTCAGGCCAGAAGGCAAGACCAGACCTGACCTTTTAATAGACACATTTTTCTAACAGCCACTTTCTATCAGGCTATGTTGCAAAGCAGCTCAGCTTTTACCCTGGTGGCTGATCAAAATACCCTTCCTCTCTTCTAGCACTGAGTATCCTGCTCTGTTAATGCTCCACAATTCTTATCACACCTATTAAGTGCTGTTCACAGCAGAAGGAGCACTGTGTCTTCTGGGACCTCTCAGAACATCTCTAGTTCAGGTACAGGCAACAAGAAAGGAAATAAAAAAGAAGACATCAAGCACAGAAGCACTGGCCTACTGCTGCAAGGTGATTATAGGAGATGGCTACCTCTGGCAGGTCAGCTTATGTTGGGATGTCCCATCAGTTATTGAGGTGAGTCTGCTCTACGTCAAAGCCCATGGATCAATGTGAAAGTGAGACATTCCTCAGGTCAGTGTCCTGGCTCTTGGACACTGACACAAACAACGTCAGCTGTTAAAATGTCACTGCCTGTCCTGTCCCTGCACTCCCAAGTGACCACCCCTAACAGAGAAGAGCAGAAGCAGCTGTGCCCCCATGTCAGTGCCTGTGGCACCCACCTCTGCTGGCAGCCCATACAAAACCGCCT